GGGATGAAGTCCCCGCAGTTAGAGTGCTCAAAGATGCTAAAATCGATAGTGGAAACGTTGTCGTGCATGCTAATCGGTTATCTCACCATTGGTATCTTTGGAAGATTCCACATGCAGGCAAAAAGCCAAAAAAAAAAAAACACACACACAAGTAAAAAATTGAGTAAAATCGCTGAAAACCAGATAGGAAAACGAAGTAAAACCGAAGCAAACCAAAATGTGGCTGTATATAAAGGGGATAAATTTACATTATCAGAGAAAGGGAATGAAGAGCATGAGTTTAAAAAAAACTACGAGCGGGTTTGGCGATGAAAGATGAAAGACAAACTTGACGCAAAATCACAAACAATCAGCTTTTGCGAATGCAAACAAGAGAAAAACTGGCGAAATATTTTTTTCATACAGAATTATTCGCTGCGTATGACTCTATAGCTGCTTTGAACGCAAAAGATAAAATAGAATCGTGAAAACAGCCGAACGTCAACAACTGCAAAGAATATAATAATTTAAAAACCACACGCACACACACATAAACTCACAAAACCAAACTAATGTCAATTAAGTGAATGCAAAGCAAATTGCCTGACAATGCGACAAATTTGATATGATATACAAAAAATAAAAAATAAAACAAACACACGTATTCTTCATTAAGCGTTTCAGAAAAACTTTTTCCAAGAAAAATATAACAACGTTGTACGTCCTTTAATCAAAACACTTTCTAGACGTCACACGCTCATGAATATATCTTTTAAAATCGTTTTGTGAAAAACATTCCAATTTTTATGCATTTGAATAGATTCTTCTGCATAGATCGTACGTATGTCAGCTGAATGTGGTCAGATTTACTATTAGTTTGAACGTTCTGCATTGCCATTTCCTCTATTTTTTTTTATTTTGTGTACTGTTATACAGAATGTTTCGTGTTTTGATTTTTTTTAAACGAAAACCCTTGTGGAAAATTACTGAATGGCTAGCCAGTCGTCTAATTTGGGACGTTTTCAGATTAAGCCGACTGAGATCGAGTCATTTTAAGTTGATTTATTTGACTTTATTTGACTATATGAATATAGCAAAGTATAACTAAAATCGACTTTAATCATAGTTGACTGTATAGTCGTCTAACGTCCCAAATAAGTCGTCTGGTTAAATTAAGCCTGCCAGATTTTTTTTGTCGATCCGGTCCGGATTATCCGGGCGAGTTTCCTCTAAGCCCGGGCGAAATACGGGCGATGCAACTGAAAATTGTTAATTGAAAATCCGGGAGACTCCCTGCAAAATTAATTTTTTCAACCAAAACAAAAATATTGGCAACGGGAAATCTTTGAAATATATTTCGATTTCCACAAAAATGACTTGATTTTCAATGTAAGTTCAATAAATGATGTTTCTATTGTTTTTGATAAGGTGGATTTGTCAATATCAAAAATAAAAAAAATCAACACATTCGAAGAGAAAAAAAAATCCAAAATTATTGAAGTTATTTGTTAAAAAATCGTAGAAAACAGTAAAAAATCCGGGAGAAATCCAGAGTTTTTCCGCCATATCCGGGTATCCGGGCCAAACCCGGATTTATCCAGGCGATCTGGAAGGCTTAGGTTAAATAAACGATTAAAGTCGACTAGGTAGTCGGTTTTAGCTAACAAAATTCATTTTTAGTTGCTTTCAGATAGTCAGTCAGTCAGTCACAATGGGAGGAAATGACTGCGAATTTTAAAATTGGCGCGCTGTTTAGTATCGATTTGAGTTGTTAAATTACATTGACGTCCCCTTTGAAATTGGTGGCGCCACCGTCGGCTCAATGAGACTTGAAGTCTTCACATCCTGTCATTGGTCAGTCACTTTTCTTCCACACGGGAATAGAAAACCATGGGAAGGGGCCAAAAAGCAATAAAGCAAAAGTGTGAAAAACGATGCGCACGCGGAAGGCACACAATCAAATAGAATCAGCCAAAGCGTGAACTCTACCACGATAACAAATCGGGTATTTTCAAAACTAAAAAAAGTAAACTGGAAACAATTTTTTTTAAATGCGAAAAAGAAAAAAAAATGCAGGCAAACATATACAGCAAACATAAAATCGCACATAGTTAAAGTCAAACGAATGGCTCGAATATTTTTATATCGAGGCGAGGCGATGAGTGTGTAATAAAGAGTGTGAGAGCGAACGCGCACTAAAATGGTTAAGCAAAGGAAATAAAATACAGAACATTAAAAAAATGTAACGCTTACTAGCGATTCAAATAAACCATAATAAAGTAGAGAGATGGCTGGGTGCCGAATTTAGTTGGCGACATTTTATCGTTTCATTTCGAAATGCTTTCAATTCGTGTTTGTTCTCTCTCTCTCTCCCTCGAATTTATATATGTATATATTCGCATCGTCTTTTATTTTCCATGCGTTTTTTGGCTACTCTATTTCACAACACTTTTTCTGCTCATTTCGATACGGTTCATTTTTTTTCTCACTCTCGGCAACCGAATGTGATTTTTTTTTCATTTGGTTTCATTTTACACTCGCTATGTTGTGTCTCGTTCTCTCTTTGATGCGATTCGGTTATGTGTCGGTTTTTTTGTGGGCCGCTCCTTGCAACTTATAAGATCTTTTCAATTATTATCTGCACAATGACTATCTTCAGACAGATCTTTTCTTTTTCATTGGTTTGTTCGCTTTTTCTTTCATTATGTATTTCTTTCTTTCGTTTTGCCGATTCGTGTGCCGGTTCTTATTTCTTTTTCATTTTCAAAGAAAGCTTTGGCCAATTTTTCTCTTTGCTCCGATTTCTCTAAATAAGGTTTATCACGACTTAAGCACTTCATAGGGTAAATAGAATTATGAAAGTGCCAAAATGAAACTGCAACAAAACAATATAACCGAATGAAACGTTGGCCATTTCACCTTGGCGTAATTCATTCAGATGCAGAGGTGTCTTGATGAAATATTTCGGTGTTTATTGTTATTTAATTTTTCGTGGTCGCTGTTGAAATTGCGTAAATGTAATGGTTCACAGTTACGTAACTCTTCGTTTGTCGCGTGTTATTTTCATTGGAAATAAAATGATAAATTGGACTTAGTTGCCAAATGAACGTGTTGTTTTAGCTGAAGGGTGAAAATGATGATTATTTAAAATTATTTTGAGTGACATTTTTAATAGAAAGCCCACACATGACAATGAGAGTAATAGTTGAAGAGAGGGAGAAGGAAAAGTCATGAATTTCCCGGTAGTCATCGTTGTAAATGTCGCATTGAAAGCAAAACATGTCTAAAAAAAATAAGCGTCAACAACAAGCGCAGAAATCCCATATTCGAAAATGTGGAGCTCACTTTCGTTTGGAGTTGTTTAAAAAAAATTCTCGCCTATTTTCTGTTGAATGGAATGGATTGTCAAAGATGCTTATTGCCACAAAAACCAATATTCCGTTTGTGCAAAAACGGCTTAGCGTTTCATTCCCAAATGCCATATTTATCTTAAAAATTACGTGTTTAAAATACAACAGCCACAACAGGAATATTCTTCGTTAACGATTTCCAAAACATTTGCCAATAAAACTGAAATTGGCGAGACAGCAAAAGCAAAGACAGAGAAAAATAGGCGAAACTATTGTGACACATAAAATTGCGTTCAGCGTTCAGTATCTATGGATCGCATAAAATCGTTCGGTGGAATACATTATAGTGACAAAACATGCTCCAATGTACGAAATAATCGCTATTTGAAAGCTTCTACACCAAGTAACCGACTAATAAAATTACCCCGAAGCAGCAGTAGACGCATGCATGCATACGCTTTGTGCGTTTTGTTAATGTGGTCATGTATTTGTAAGTATTGTGTACGGATGGTGGATGTTGTAAGCCCTCATGCTGCAAATGCATATGGATGAAAGTTTTGCGCTATGGCAGCAATGAAAATGCGACATTTGTCAATAAGTGTCAAAGTCATAAAAAGCGTTGACTAACAAAAGAACAACCAACGAAAACGGATCCCATTCCAACCACCAAAATACACGTTCATTGTTTTCTTTCGATAATTTTTTTGTGAGTTTGTGTGTGTATGTGTGTTCGCTGCTCTCGCCACTTGCCTCCTTTTTTTTCTTATCTTTTGGTGGCTGTCAGCCGGTACACGCATTCAACTTTTCACTTAGCACTGTTTTTTATGAGATTCCGTCGTGTTCAGAGTGCATGGATCAGCAATGTTGCTGTTGCTGCTGGCGCTGCAGCATACGAACGACAAAAAAACAAATCGAAAACCGAATAAGCGATTTATCGAAGATTTTTATGGTTTTCTGTTTAACGTAATTACGCCCAAGTTAAAGCGATAATAATTGTCATTTATTCAAATTTATTGAAAGGAATAACATCGTTTTCGGTTTGATTGATTGTGATTGCTGTCTCATTTTCGCTTACGAGCTCGGGTTCGCATAACTGCAGAGCTGCCATGCAAGGCATCATCGCGTTTGGCACCATTGAATTTGAAACACACACACACACATAAAACCCATACGCACGCACACATTTCCTCCAAGTTGCGACGAATCCAGAGAATAAGGAGAACAACAAAAAAACCAGCGACACAAAATAAAGTCCAAAATTATGAAAGCTTTGCCAAACGATGCTGCGTGTTGCGTTTATTGCATTATTCATCGAACGCTATCTTCCCTTCGAATTTTTATGATATTCCTTTCTTCGTCGTCGTCGTAGTTGTTGGTGATTTTTTTTATCTTAACTTTTGTATTTTTACATATGTGAACTGATTTTGACTTGACGTACGTTTTCAATCTGAATCCATATTGAACCGTTATCAATGTGATGCTTTCAACGAAGTTGCAATTCGATTTTCACTCACAAATTCGCATGCTCGTTTCGAATTTCTTTTCTGTTTCATTCACATGTCTCGCATTCCTTTACTACATTATACATATTTACGTATTGTATGTATGTTCTGTATTTCTCATACCATCTATCTCTTTTTCTCTCCTTCTTCTTCTTCTTTGAATTTTCAGGTAGACCATTGCCAAACGTAACGTGGTGGCACGAAACGACACTACTGGATGATACATCTGTCATTTTGTCAGGGAATCGTGTAAAAAATGTGCTTAATCTTCAAAAAATTGAACGACGTCAGCTCCACATCGTATACACATGTCAGGCATCAAATAATAATGTTACCATGCCGATCGTCAGTTCAATCACGTTGGATGTGAATTGTAAGTATAAATATCCAAACATAAGTAATATTTTTTCACAACTCCATTTCATCTATTCTTTATTTGGGTTTGAACCGACAAAATGCCGAGAAAGCGAGCTGATTTTGAAAAAAAAAAAATAATAATAATTGTGCCATATTTCCCGAATATTCTCTGGTTTTATTTTGGCAACGGTTCCCACTTACCCTGTTATCACTTTTTATGGAGCGATCACACACAAATAACAGCATCAAGTTCAACAACAGTCAGCTTATAAAATAGATAGTACCATATATGCCATACCAAACGAAATATATCTGTCGGCGTGCACACACCGTCAACATCATCGAATACCAAAATAAACGAACATGTTTGTCGTTATCATTATCATTTCTGTTTTTAACATGAAGCAGTTTACTTCATTTTTGGAGTAACCATTTTTTTCTTCTGTCGAAAGTTTTTTTTTCTCATCATTGTCGTAGCCTTCGTCATATGATTGTCTTTTTTCCCTGCCGCTCATCATGTGGACCGAACTTTTTTTATATTTCTTCAAATTTTTCCTATGTACGAATTTTTTTTACGATTTCGTTTTTTTCGCAATTTGCCTCATCATTAATGCATAATGTTGTTCTTGTACTGAAACTACTACAGTCGAGAATTTAACTGAACATGCCCACGTAAAATGACATGTATTCGCGTTCACATGAAAGACGACAAAACATGAAGAAATGAAGCGAATGACAAAAAAATACACACATACTCATGCCAAGTCAGAGAACATACAAGCGACAGAACGAACTATGAATATAGGATATTTTCAACAAATATCTTTTGCTTCGTATGTGTATACTTATGTGTTGTCACGTAATCCTATCAATTTATATAGCGCAAGCTTGCACATCCCCAAATTAACCAGCAAATTACAGCAACAAGAACAGCTTCAATATCCATGATGTTCACAAGAGCGCGCACAGAGAAGGCACATCAAATAACAATGTGCTTGGCACTTTTTAAATATGCGTTCACTCACTTACACTGCCTTTCACTCTTTCTCTGTCGCTCGCTCTCTGTATATGTCAAGAGTTATGAGTATGTGCGCCGAAGTGATTCGCGTAAATATTGACGATATTGAAATAGCAAAGAAAAAAGTTTTTTTTTTTTTAAACAAGCTACAAAGTAAAAATGAGAATAACGAACGCACAACACATACCCATTTACGAGAAAACATTTCGATTAAGGCAATGTCTGCCATTTGTGTCACGAGTAGGCAACCTAAAAAGTAACACACGATTCGTATCCAACACCATTTTCACGCCGAAACGGTATTATATTAAAAATTGAATGGCAGATTAAAAAACATGTTGAAAGACGACGACGTTAAATGAATAAAAAAAAAGAATGAAAATAATGAAAGCTTTAGCATAGTTTGAATACTATGCAGTGTGGAATTGCCAACCATGAAAACCAGTTAAACAATAGCATTAACGACTCGACAAAACCAAAAAGTGGTTTAAAAAAAAGACACAAGAGCATAGCAAACAAGGGAAATATTCATTCAGCACCTCGATACAACGTTTCGGCAATGAGAATCGGTGTGAAAATGCATGTTTACAAATATGTTTGATGTCATTTTCGAAAATTCCCTGTTAAATTTTCGGCACCAATATGTTTGTACATTTCGTCACATTTCGTCGTGCACTCCAAGAGCTGGGGCGCAAACACCAAAAATAATAATATTATTTTTAAAACGAACGTCTGCTTGAATGATTGTTGCCATATAATGGAAAACACCATTCCCAATCTGAAATATTATGCGTATCTCAACACATACTGTTTGAATTGTCGTGATGATGCCAGAACTTAAATGGGCGCACGTATTTTTTTGAAGGCAATTCGCTTAGACTGTTGCTTAGAAATAATAATATTTCGTTTTTTTTCTTTAAATGAACGAACCAAATTCTAGACATGCAGAGTTTTGCGAAAGATGCAAAGAAACAAAAAGCAAAAAGCATTCAGGTGCGCTTAAATTTTTGTCTTTTCTCCATGGCTATAACTTTTTCCTCTTGATCGGAAGCCACTTTTCCAATTATACAATGTCAATAAAATATTGGTTCGAGATTCATGTGTTTGCCTGATTTTTCTCTTCAACTCGGCTTGATGGTGGCTATGTTATCATCAGTGTGCGCTGCTGTTGTCGTGCTCTATCATTTGTATTTGTTGATTCGTTTTCACTGCTACCGTCTATATCTCATCAACGAGAGACATCGTTGTCGTCGTCACGTCTCGAATGTTTTTTTCTTCATCATCATCTTCAGCTTCTTTCTCGCATCGTGCACATAATTTTTCTGGTTGCTGTTTTTCGGAGGGGGGAGGCGAAAACATTCTGAGCACAAACAAAAAAGTATTTCATCCACACCGACAAGCTTTCATCAGGATATTATTACCGTTGCCTTGGCCATCAAATCGAATGGTTTTACCAGAGTGTGAGAGAGTGAGTGAAAGCATTTTGGGTGACATCATGCACATTGAATTGATTATATGAACGCTTAAAGGAGAATGAGCCGTGTATGCATGAGTGTACTGTGTGTATATATGTGTATGGGCACATTGGCATCAAAAAAGCACAGATAACTCAAATTAAATTCAAGAAAAATATGCGGCTCATCATGAACACAAACACGGTTCGAATAAAATGTATTTTCCCATAGCTCAGGTCACTCATATGCGCCATCTAATATTCCATTTGTAAGTGTACGAAAAATCACGAAGAGAAAAAAGCATGCAGAGGACAAAATGAGCAATTGATAAAAGTTTCCCTTTTCAAGCTCTTTTTAATGCGACCAATTAATGTAATGATAACTCAGTTTAATTGGCCGTTCCTCTGATAAAACATGCAATACTATAAGCGTGTGCACACATACCACACAGTGAAAGAAAAAATGAGCACAACGGTTTATTAAGTGAGAGAGGGAGATAGAGAGATTAAAAAAAGATGATTGTGTGAGCGAGTAACAAAGAGCACAACAGAAACATAGAGAAAAAATAAACCTGCTATTTGCAATAGATTGAATCACGTATACGAGCATCCTCCTAGGCCTCATTGTATGTGTTATGTGCACTTGAATTGGAGCAGCACATCCATTAAGCAATTTGTGAATGCAAAGTAGAAAAAAATACATCCAAACTACAAAAATGCGTGATTTCTGTTGAAATTTACTTTGCAGCGACAAATAAATACATAAATTGATAAATTCAAACCAAATTGTGCGTAAATGCTGAAATATGCATGCCATTCACTACCAATTATAATCATAGACAATCGAATTTACGGTGTTGTTTTAGCCCAAAGCGAAATATATTTTTTTTTCTCATCCCAATTGGCCGTGCACACGTGCACAAACCTGGAATCCGTGATGCAAACACGAAATATATATGAAGCACGCGACTATGCTACACCAAATCGATCTCTCTCGCTCTATCTTTTTCTTTCTATTCATATATGAAACTGTGGGACCGGACAAAAGTAGTCGTATCCATTGTGTGTACTTTGGTAATGGTTTTTTATCGGTACAGTACAATCAAAAAGCATTTAATTTGCGTAATTTCAATTCTATTTGTGTATTCATTTATTCATTCGTTCGTTGCTATCATTCGTTCGTTCATTCATTGAATTGCATTGAGACTGTCGGTTCCTTTTCCTTTGTTATTCTACATATATATATATATATATATATAAAGGACAATTTCATGTTTGAATTTTTGTTTTTATTTTGCAGTGCGTCCATTGTGGGTGAAATTACAAGGAGAAAATCGTCCATTATCAGCTGATAATGAATATCAACTATGGTGTGAGGTGGTCGGTTCTCGGCCCTCGCCTTTGATTACTTGGTGGAAGGGCAGCACGCCGATGCGGAATACACGAGAGATTGTAATTATCGCTTAATTTCATTTTGAATGCTATTGCATGTCTCGCTTTTTTACGTCTTTTTTTCTTTACATACCGCTTACTTCAATGGCTGAAGTGAGCTTCGTTGGCACTTTTTCGTTTTTTTATGCGCACCACTTCAGTTTTAACTATGGACAAAACCTAGGCACTTTCATCTCTCTCTTTGTTTTTTTTTTCTCTGCTCAAACGAAGAATAAAAAACGTAGATAGAAAGAAAAAGAGTGTGATGCGCGCAAAGAGAAAACAATTCTGATCTGAATGCAGTCTTCATTTGATCTACGTAGTAGAAAAAGTAATTAAATTTAATTAGAAAATCACGTTATTTCACAGCATTTAGAGTAAAAATTGCTTTTGTTAATAAAGTAAGCTGTGAATAATGTTATCGTTCGTCAATATCAATCAAATGCAACAATCTAAAACAGTGATGGAGGGTTGATGTTTTTTTCTCTCTCATCTCATTCATTCTCCATTATGTGTGGATACATTTGCTTTGTTTTGTTCAGTTCTATTTAAATACGAAAGTCATTGTGAATGGATGAATTGAGGGATCAGTTATGAGACACTATATGTATTGGTGTGTATGTATGTGTGATGAATTTGAATGAGAGCTCAAATGAGGCATAAAATCAAAATGGCTTTTATAGATAAAAACATTTTTTTTCCTACCATCGTTTTTATAACAAATTCATGATAAGCGAAAAATAAATGGTGCTTTCGTCCAGCAGAAGAGATCAGTCGGTGGCAAAATGAACGAAATAAAAACACTTGTCGCAAACAAGACCATTTTTCTATCGAATGATATAATAATGGGTCAAATTGATTGAAATTGTTGTTATAATAAAGAACATATCGAAATGTATATGAGTACGCTAAGTATCGGAAACGCGATAAAATATTATTTTCATTAACAAAACGCATTAAAATACGTGCGTTGATTGTTTGAGTATTTTTTATGTTTGGTATTTGTATTTTAATTAATTTTTAATTCGCAGTTATAAATTTAATTAGCCAGTTCATTGAATAGAATCATTATTTATTGGCGTGTGTTTCATGATAAAAATTCCAACTATAAAAACCAATGACAACAACAACATAAAACGATGTGCACTTTGGCCTCTCATCTCACAAACAAGCATGATCTAACAATTGATTTGGAATGTGATGGTGATGATGACGACGACTAACAAAGAAATTGCGGTTTCGAAATTCACATCCATTTGATAAACGGTGTCATCTCTGTGACTGTGAATTCAAATAAAAAAAAGCAATGCGTTCAACTCTGGTGCTCGTTTTTTCCCTTTTTTTGTTTTTGTTGGTGATGGTATGAGAATGTGTGTGTGTCTTGTTTTTGCTGTACAACATTGCGCTTGCTGGTGCCAACAGATGATTTTACATCGTCAGCACCATCAATTAATAGACTCGGAGAATTTCTGGTGAATTGCAAATGTCCAGACATTTTTGCTGCATTTGCGAATAAGTGCTGGTGAATTGATCCATAAAATATTGCATGTAAAATAAACTGCAGCTATATTTGCACCGGAAGCACAGCATTCCCATTCTGTCATTAATTTTGTGGCCGATCGTAATGAATTGGAATCGATTCTCGCTCTATCCACGCTTAAACATATGGGACAAAGGCAGAGGTGTCGAGCTTGTGAGAGAAAGAGAGAGAGAGAGCAAGAGCGAACGAGTGAAAATGATGAAAGTCGGGTTTCAAGAATTAAATTTCGGTGTGCAGAATTTCGGTCGTTTGCATATATTTTATACACAGATTTTCAAAACCTTCAATTAATATTTTACATCATGGATCTTATGAGTAATAAAATTGAACCAATAAATCACTAGCTTCACTAGCTTCCCCTCAATACATAAATGAAGCAAATTTTCCAAACTGCAACGTTTGTCGTATCGTAATAATAATGAGTTTTTGGCCGATGTCAGATTGCGTAAAGCCAATCGAGTCCTTCTCCAGTTTTGTGTGCCGGAGTGTTTCATTGTTTTGCATTTATATGTAATGACGAGAAAAAATGTCGCCGGGCCTCATATTTCGGGGACAGCAGTCGAAAATTGTAATTAGCCACTCTTGGAATCAATGACGTTGACAAAATGATTTTTCTTTCGGCGACGAACGACGACATAAACGGTGACTGTACTGGCGCAAGACAACCGCGAAGAAAGCGCCGATACATTTGTATTGACTGTGAATAAATTTTCACTTACGCGTCAGTTAATATCTGTTATGGGGATTTTGATGGGGGATAAAAAAAACTTTTTTTACACATTGATAAGCTCATTCTTTCGACTCCCCGATGATTGAGTTGTGAAAGTTTGTTTCTCTTTCTGTTTTTCGTTCGTTGCATTTTTGGCGTGCTTTTGTTGCTGTCTTGGGATGAGCGAAAATCTCGGACATTAATGACATTCGAAATATGTTCAAGTGATACTCGGTTAGATTAGCCACAAGCGTCTCAATGAAAATGTATCACTTTTGAATTTAATTTTTTTGTATTACATATATTATATGGCTGTGTGTGTATGTTTTTTTGGCTTTTTGCCCGGATGTGGAATCTTCCAAAGATACCAATGGTGAGATGACCGATTAGCATGCACTATTCACCGACTGAAAAAGCGCCTACGTACTAAACCACACTCTTGCACGCTCTTCTACCACTCTCTCCGCCGAACTGCCATTAGGTATTACATCGCAGGGATGGTTAGAATTTTATGCTTGTCTCTCCGTTGTTTTTCCGCTATGCGGAGCTCCTCTTGTATATTTGTGACAAAATTGAGGGTGTTTTGCCAACCCTCGTCCGTTTCGAGCATATAACTTACTAGGAGACTCACCCTTGGGGGGATGTGTACTCTCGACTCTGCGAAACGAATGCAGTGAAAAATTGCATGTTCTGCGTCTTCATCTTGTTCTGGGCAGATTGGACATGCCGCAGAATTTTCGTGTTTAAACATGTGGAGGTATTTTCGATAGCTCCCCCGATGACCAGAAAGGAACTGAGTGAGTTGGTAACTACAGTCTCCGTGTTTTCGATTCACCCATGTCTCAATGGCCGGTATTAGTTTATGAGTCCATCGGTTTTTTGTTGCGGTCTCCCATAGAGTCTGCCATTTGGCCATCGATGTTTCTCTTTCGTTGATGCGTTTATATTCGCATTTGTCTGGGGTTCTTCTGTTGTAGATTCTCCACATTTCGTCAGCCAGTATATTCACTGGCATCATCCCGGCTATGACTAATGCCGCGTCGTCTGATATCGTCCTGAAGCCACTTATTGTTCTCAGTGCGCTGAGTTTGTATGTGGTTGCAAGATTTCACCTTATTGCTTTCGTCGTCAGTGCTGTTGCCCAAACCGGAGCGGCATAGAGTAGTATCGAGCTAACTACTCTTGGGAGTAGGATTCTCCTACCGTATTTGGTGTATGTGTGTGTGTGTTTGCGCGCATAGACACACATACATATAAACATACAATATATGATCTATTATGAGTACAATCTACGTGACTTTTTGCTAGAACTGTGATTACGTTTGTTTTAGTCCAATGGTCTATTGGATTTCAAGGAATTTGTACTTTCGAATCACAGACGATGTGATTGCAGAGCTTATATGTATATGCATTAATATTTGCGGCGCTTCTGCTTTCAATCAGCATTCTATAGAGACGACAAAATGATCTCAAATAGAAATGGAGTGAGAGTGGAATCAATGACTTCAATGTCGATGTGATCGAAATCTTTCTCAATGAATGGCGGAAATTGGGAAGAAACAAACTGAAAATGTATATATTAAACTTTTCGAATAGAAAGAAAACGAAGACGATTGCTTCTCTCTGTAGATGTACACATGTATCTTGCACAAGATGGCAATAGACAAGTCTTTAGACAAGCAAACAGCAAATCAGGTTGATAGTAAGCAGTTCTATCACAGATTCTCTTTCATTTTTTATTTTTAATTATCTATTGAAAATTAGACGACAATCACGACAAAAGTTACGCAAATATTTCCAATAAAGTAAATCATTATGTATGTATCATTACATATATGTGAAATACTTATCTCTTATTATAAGAGTCTTATATATCGTTTTGGTTTATTCGTTTGTTGTTTTCCGTTTAGTTGTTGAAAATTTCAATGAGTGAAAAAGGACAGTCCATGCAACCGAATGCCAGCCACACATTATTCGTTTTTCTTATGCGATAAAAACGATGAAGAATATATATCTAATGAAACGATGGTCCACAGAACGTGAGGTCGAACATTTTAATGCTGTGATAGTTAGTAAAGTATTTTCCACTGGAATGATATGAGCACTAAAAAAGCGGGTGTGAAAAGCGCCAAATAACAGAGACTGAGCGAAGAGAGATCAATTGAGAAGCGAGAGCGATACGCAGACCAAGCCATTTTTCCCCCTCAGTATGTGTGTATATGTGTTGGTGAAAAGTTTTCCAGTCTGTTATTAGTGCTGTCGATGTTGCCTCTTGTACCAGCAATATTTATTTTCTTATTGAAGATAAAATCTTGTATTAGAGAATTTTTGTCTAACAAACGCTACTCCAACTTTGGGTGTGCATCAAAATACGTTGTGTATCTCGTCTTTTTCTCGGTTTTTTTCTTCTTCATCAGTTTGGTGTTGTTGAGAAACAACCAATGACGATGCGATACTGTCTTTCGCCTTTCTTTAAGACATTAAATAGCTCCGGGCACACCAATCATAAAACTTATTTGATGTAACCGAATCTATACGGTTAATTTAGATGAAAATGTATGTATGGCTGTAAAATGCTACGATCTTTTTGGCTGTATGTCTTCGCAGCTCAAAACACAAATCGACCACACAAAGTATTATTTAGATACGTCGTATCTATGTGCTGTTTTCTCTCTCTCTCTCTCTATCTCTCTCTCTCTCTCTCTCTGTGTGTGTGTGTACGCGGATGTGTGTATGTTGTGCATTTCACACACAAGTGCGAAAAAAGATGGA